GCAGCTTTCCAGCCACTCATCCCTAGGCCTGTAATGTTGCACAGGGGTGTTGTGGTTTAAGTGTAGGACCTGTCACTTGCCTTGTTAGACCTCATACAATTAGTCGTCTCCCATTAATCCAGCCTGTCCAGATCCCTCTGAAGAGCCTTCCTACGCTCAGGCAGACCAACACTCCCACCCAACTTGGTGTCATCTGCAGACTTACTGAGGGTGCAGTTGATACGCTCATCCAGATCATTGATAAAGACATTAAAGGGAACTGGCCCCAGCAATGAGCCCTGGGGAACACCACTTGTGACCTGTCACCAATTGGATCGAAATCCATTCACCACAACTCTTTGCGCCTGGCCATCCAGATAGCTTTTCACCCAGTGAGGACTACACCCATCCAAGTCATGAACAGCCAGTTTCTCCAGGGGAATGCTGTGGGAAGCTTTGTAAGAGGCTTTCCTGAAGTCTAGATAGACAGCATCCACAGCCTGCCCCTCATTCACTAGGAGGGTCACCTTATCATAGAAGGAATCAGGTGAGTCAAGCAGAACCTGCCTTTCACAAACCCATCCTGACTGGGCCTGATCATCTGGTGGTCCTGTACCTGCTGCATGATGTCACTCAAGATGATCTGCTCCATAACATTCCCCATTACTGACATCAGACTGACAGGCCTGTAGTTCCCTGGCTACTTCTTCCAACTCTTCTTGTAGATGAGTGTCACGTTTGCTAATCTTCAGTCAGCTGGGACCTCCGTGGGTAGCTGGGACTGCTGATAGATGACAGAAGATGGTTTGGTGAGCACTTCTGCCAGCTCCCTTGGTACCCTTGGGTGGATCCCATCCATCCCATAGACTTGTGGGTGTTTTAAGTGGTGTAGCAGGCCACTAATAATTTCCCCTTGGATTTTGGGGGCTGCATTCTGCTCCCTGTGCCTGTCTTCCAGTTCAGGGGGCTGGGTACCTGGGGAAAACTAAGGCAAAGAAAGCATTAAGTACCTCAGCTGTTCCTCATCCTTTGTCACTCTTTCTCCCAGCATCCAGTAAAGGATGGAAATTCTCATTAGCTGTCCTTTTGTTGTTAATGTGTTTATAGAAACATTTTATTGCCGTCTATGTCAGAGGCCAGATTAAATGCTGGTTGGGCTTCGGCCCTTTTAAGTTTCTTCCTGCATAACCTCACAGCATCTTTGCAGTCCGTCTGAGTTGCCTGCCCCTTCTTCCAAAGGTTATAAATTGCTCCTCTTGTTCATGAATTCCAGCCAATGCTCTCTGTTCAGCAAGGCTGGTGGTCTTCACTGATGGTTCATCTTTTGGCATATGGGGACAGCCTGCACATGTGCACTTAAGTTTTCCTCTCTGAAGAATGTCCAGCCTTCCTGGACTTCTTTGTCCTTCAGGACTGTCTCCCAAGGGACTCTGTCAGCCAGGCTTCTAAACAGGCCAAAGTCTACCCTCTGCAAGTCCAACATAACAGTTCTGCTGAGCCCCTTCCTTACTTCTCCAAGAATCAAAAACTTGGCTATTTCATGATAGCTATGCCCAGGGTGGCTTCCAGCCATCACATCTCTGACCAGTCCTTCTCTGTTCACAAACAGCAGGTCCAGCAAGCGCCTTCCCTATTGTCTCCCTCACCAGCTATGTCAGAAAGTTGTTGTCCACATGCTCCAGAACCTCCTAGACTGTTTCCTTTCTGCTGTATAGTATTCCAGCAGACATCTGGTAAGCTAAGTCCTCCACAAGTACGAGAGCTAGTGATTGAGATACTGCTTATGGACTGTTTTGTCTGCCTCTTCATCCTGGTTGGGTGGTCTGTTACAGACTCCTGCCATGACACCTGCCTTGTTGGCCATCTCCATGATTCTGATCCATAAATACTCAACCCTATCATCACCATTGTCAAGACAATCAAAACACTCCCTAACGTACAGGGCTACTCGGCTGCCTCTTCAGAAGGGACAAGCAAGGAAGTTTCAAGCCGCCCACTGCAGCACTCCAGTTCTGTGAGATGTCCCACTATGTTTCCGTGATAGCAACTATATCATAGTTTCCCAGCTGTGCAATGGCTTCTATGTCCACCTGTTTGTTGCCTATGTGGCATGCGTGGGTGTAGATGCACTTTGTTTGGGCAACTGATGCCACAACCTTGTTGGAGATAGAAGCCCAAATTCCTACGTGACCATTCTCGGACGCTTCCATGGTTTCTAACACATCAGTAACCCATGCATCTTTGCTGCTGCATGGATGTCCATCCCCTGCATTCACTGTGACCTCAGACCGAAGGAGTGCTGTAGTGAATGGAACTCCACTATCTGCTGAAGTTCCTGTTGCATGTTCTCCACTTCGGCTCCACATCATTTTATTCTAAAAATGTCAGGAATTATTACCTAGAGGCTTTCAGTTATAGCTTGTGCCTTGCTTGTCTGATTGTCCTGTAATAATGAAAGCTGAGCTCAATCTGTCTGTTACCCTCAGAGTTATCCAAGAACTTAGGTATTTCTTTAATAGTGGAGGGGGCTTCCCCTTTCTGCCAGCATACAGAAAATCAGATTTTTGTGGGTTTTATGTGTCTGTATTCCCTTAAAGCAGAATTTACCTGGCCTGTTGTAACTAACTGTGTGCTAAAGCCTCATCCTCTTGTAGAAGCAGTGACATGTGTCTCACAATTTGCTTCTCTTCCTGTTCCTTTTCCAACGTACTTGTATCAGGCTATTTACATGTACTGCAGTATTGCAGGTGTGTTTCAGAACTGTAGTATGGGCAGGTAAACCATAACTGCTAGAGGTGAGGGGACCAGTGGTGGATGAATTTCTTCCCTGGCAGCATTGCTGCTGTATGTATGCCTCGCATTTGATGTCCCCTTGCAAACAAGAGGAGCAGAGGAAATTGGCTGGTGTCAGGTGTCTCCTGCCTGCTTGTGTCCTGTTAATAAGGACAGCATCTGTAAGGTGGGAAGAAACAAGTGGAGAATTGAGAGTAAGCATCTGAAAGGAGCAGTAAGCAATAGCAGGAGGAATGTGAGAGACTGGAAGAGAAGGCAAGAGAAAATCCAAATATTGGATAAGAGGAAGGAATGAGCTGAATTTGAAAGGAAATGGCTGTGGGGAATGCATATATATCTAAACAATAGCATTCATGGAAAGTATTAGTGTGTTCATCAGCAAAATTATTAAACCTAGCACTTGTAAATGCCAATAAAGTCATGTCCAAGTTCTTTTCAATTTTAACAGAAGAAAGATCTCTTGTAGAAGGAGCAATATCATTCATCTATTCAACTATTCTGTATCATCTAACTTAATAGCAATATATTATTGCTGTTGAAAAGCTTTTAAAATGAGGCTTTGCAATTGCTACTGGGTGAGTTGAAATAAAAATATCCTTTGCATTCAATTTACCTGTGTTAGTAGAACATTGAATGGTGGATTAAAGGGAGGGGACTGGAGATACAGTAAAAAAAAAAAAAACAACCCAAGACAAACTCATTGACTAGAATTTAAAATAAAATTTAAAAAAAGACTCCAAAATGAAGACTAGGGATGATAAATCCCTTATGAAAAGCTTTTAGCTTTTGAGAGCTGGTTGAGTTCCTGGGAGCTGAGCAAGACAGTCCAAGAGATCCCTGTGTTCCTCTAGAACAGGTTCTCATGAACCTGTGGTAGCTCGTGCTTGTGGGAGTTTGGGCTATAGCTTGAAAGGACATGAGGGGTCTGTTCCTGTGTACAGATATGTGGGAGAGCCTTAGCTGAAGAGCACACAGTGGATTCCAGGAGCTCTTGTTCATCTTTGACACAGCTTTGACAAGGAAAACTTTAAGAGCTTTCAAGAAACTGTTGCCACTATCACTGGTCTTTAGTGCTTTAGTTTTTGTCTTGTCACCTCCTTAAGGTGTCTCTTTAGTCTGTTGTGGGTCTTGTTTTTAATGAGCTTGTAGCATCTCCTGTTCACACTTTTAACTGCTTTTGGAAACAACTGGTAGGCAGGCTAACTGGCCAGCTGTTGAGTGAAGTTCTGAACAATGCTTTGGCTTCTTCAGGATGGATTTATATGCAAATGCTGCAAAATAAATTAACTCTTCTTTCTTGTTGTCTTGCAGGCTCTTTACGTTTTTTTGACTGGCCACTTCTTAATCTGTGGCCTCAAAAACATCAGCCAGGAGGGAGATAGCTGAGCCCAATGACTCCAGTCAGCATGTGGTGTACTGTATATGGGCTCAGAACAAGTGGCTTGTATGTTGGAAATCTGCCACCTTCGGGTCTGTGGGGATCTATGGGCTAAACTCATCCCTTTTTGGTTATAAACACAGATTGGGTTCATGTACCGTTTTACAGACTGTGTGTTTAATAGACACCTTCCTAATCAAATGCCTGAAGCATTTCTTCTCTCTGGCTTGCATATAGAGGGCTCTAGAGAGAATCAGAGAGGAGGTGTTCAACAGTTTTATTTACATGCTTAGTAGGAATATGTGGATAACTTGTGCATTGTCTCTCTCAAACTGTCTACAGTAATCTTCCTTATTTCTCAAGAGGATGTCATTCCCTGTGGATTTGTTGGACAGCTATACTCATGAAGAGTTGGCAAGAACAGCGGAGAACTACTTGTTTGAACTTAAGCGCAGGAATCCAAACTGTCCTGAATTCTTTTCTCTTCCAGTCCATGGCAGTGTAAGAACCAGCAAATATCCTAGTCCCAATTTTCTTGATATACTTGTAGATTTAAAAGATTTAAAATATCCAGCCCATAACTTGAATTGCACTATTATTTTTGTGAAGCTTTTATATTTTAAAAATTCCTTGTGTTAAGTTTTTCATTCTGTAACTGGTTTTACGTCTGGGCATCAGTGACTACTTGCTGCTTCTAGGCAATGAATCTGTATGCATTAAGTAATTAAAAAAAAAAACCCAAAACCAAAAAAACAAACCCAAAACTTAAATTGAACTGTTGAGTCAAACTCTTTCCTAAAAATCACTAAGTCATGTAGTCACAAAAATATTGTTATTGTAACTATGATCTTCACGATTTACTGAAGATTACTGGCTCTCTTGTATCTCAGTCCTTCAGTGTTCTTCATGGTTGTGTTCAATTCTTCATCAGCAAGTTTCACTAATTTTAAAAATGATAACTTTCTTTTTATCTGAAATAACTCCCTGCTGGTGTTGGGAGTTCTAGTAGAGGCTGGATGTGACACTTTATGTTTTAAAGACACATCCCTTGTGTGGTAAGTTGGTTAATGTTTGTTCTGTCTAGATGAACCTTTCTATTAGAATTAGTACCAATAAAAGCGACGGTGTATACTTTTGATGAAAAGTGAGCAAGCTGAGAGGATTCTCTGTGGGAACAAAAGGTCAATGTTGCAGATTCCTTGGCAGAAGCAGTGTTGAGTA